GTGGGAGGAACCTCATCTATTTGTAAGAAGAGTAGATTTCTCAGAGTGCTGAAATGAGTGGGGATTGTAGCTTTTGTGTCAAAGAGTCAAAACCTGGTAGAATGTCCTCACCAGCTTTCTGAAGTGTCGTTTGAAACGTTTCTTCTCTTTGTAGTTACTTGCCGTTAGCTAAAACTTGATTAATAATTACCAAAAAGTTTTCTCAATTTTGTAAAAATCATTTTGTAAACTTGAAAAGGCTATTATTACTTCTTAAGTGAATATATTACAACTTTATGTCCAGAGAAAAATCTTTATTTATAAGGTAGTGCCTGCAGTCAGTAGGTAGTTAAGTAGCATTTAGGGGCTACCTTAACAAGCCTGAGAATTTAATTCGTTTTTAAAATGCATCAGTTTAAACTGGTTTTAAGTCAGTCAGAGCTATTGGGCAGGCTTAATTTTGAGAGTCTTCCTGTGTTGCTATTGAAATGTCTGTGAGTTGAGTTGTGTCATGGAAATGGAGGTAATCACGAAATGGGTTAGACTGAAAGTATCTGAATGTAACCTGAACTGCAGAAGTGCTCAAACTTGTTTCTTCCTAAAAGTATTATCCACTATGATGCAGTCGTTGAGTATTCCTGTTTCATCAGTATTTTTGTGTCTTGTATCACTCAAATGGCTTATTTATTGTCTATTGTGACAATGAAGGCCTTTGCAGATTAAGATGATTCTCTTAAAAACTAAGTTTATTCACTCTTAATCCATTCAAGGAAGAAGAAAAGAAAAGGGAACAAGAAGAACAGAAAAGAAGAGAGAATGAGATGGTTTTTAAAGCTTGGTTACAGAAGAAGAAAGAACAAGTGCAAGAAGAAAAGCGAATTCGTCGTGCAAAGGAGCTAGAAGACTTGAACAGCAAAGTAAGATCTCCCTAATGTAAGACTGGGATCTATAGCACTCTTATTAAATAGGAAAACCAAATTCTAAGCCTGTGTTTTTAGCTAAGCATATGAAAATTTACAGTCATAGGAAATGGTTTTGTTGCATTGTTTTCAGTGAAGAGCTTGGCTGACTTGCATGATTAGGATTGTTCTGCTTGGCAGGGCGGCTTGTGTCGTAGAAGCTGCATATACGAACTTAATAGCTATAAAATCACAGGAGATACTGTGATGCTCCTTTTTATCAGGAGAATGACTTGATTGAACCCTGCAGTGAACAAGCAGCCAGAAAACCCTTCGAAGTGTGTTATTTACCATCAGAACTTGGCAAGAAGTTAATGCATGTGACCTGACCAAAACCTGAAGATTCACATGCTCTGTTCTAAAGTTCCTCTGCCTTGCAGCAATGGGCTTGAAAAGCTAAACTCAGTATTTTTTTAAAACATACTGCTTTGAATTCTTGCTCATATATATATATTCCATGCCAGATTAGCATATGCTCCAGTTTGCTTATGAAGTATGTTTTTTGGATGGGAGATGCCAGCAGAGTTCAAAAAACTATTATGATGTGATTAATATAAAGGTCATTTAATGATATATTTTGTATATATGTGTTGTGTTTGGGTTTTTTTTTTCAAATAGGAGAGGAGCAGGAATCCAGAAGAAGCCTTCAAGTTATGGCTTAAAAAAAAGCACCAAGAACATATGAAAGAAAAGCAGATAGAAAATTTGAGACGCCAAGCTGAGGGAATTTCTTTTTTCCCAAGAACAGAGGAATGCAACAGAGCCTTTAAAGAGTGAGTAGGGTCATTCCTAAGGAATCATTTTTGAAAATTTTGTAGTCTATCAGCTTCTCTAGTCATTTTATGGTACGTTTTTACTGCTGAAGTCATTATTGGGTTTTGGTGGGGGTTTGGTGTTTTGTTTGTTCATGAATATGCCCTGATAAACATATACCCAAAAAACATCCGTTCCTTGATGTTGTTTGTTCACTGTTGTGAAATTATGTGTCGGAACCTGAGCTGAAAGAGTGAATTGCTTCTGCTGAAAAAGGGAGATCCTTCTCCCCTACCCCTTTTTCGCCTGTTCTGGAACAGGCTTGGGTTGATTCAGTTCATTTAAATAAGCAGAAAGTTCATCCAATTAAATGATTTGGCCCCCCCCTCAAGTCCATGAATTCAATCAATATCAGCTCAACAAGAGGGGGGAGGTGAAGATGGGTGCAGAAGCAGGAGAATGGGGATGGAAAAGTAGCACCTCCCATGTTTAGGAGTGGCAGGCTTTCAGATTGGCTCAGCTATGACACCTAACTTTATCCTAGGTGACTCTAGTTAAACGGGGGCAAGTCTCCTTTGAATGGATGACATAAAACTTTCAATTGCAACTGTCAGTACTTCTAGTCCTCTTTCTCCCTCCACAGATGGCTAAAAAGAAAGAGAGAAGAAAAACGAGCAGAAGAACTGGCTGCTAAAGAGAGAGCAAGGCAGCTTAGATTGGAAGCCAGAAGAGCAAAACAGATGCAGAACATCCACTGCATTAGTTCGGAGCCTAAAGCCTTTCGCTTCACAGACCACTACAGCTGAAAGTTCCATGTAACTGCAGAGTTCTTTGGGCAACCCTCTCCATTTTTATGGCTTGAGCTTTTACTCTTTACAGCTACTGACTTTTTGTGGTGTTTTTAAAGCTTTCAGGCAAGTTTAACAGTTCCCTTCACTGACAATGATTTTTTTACTACCTATTTATTCGTAATTTTGTTGAAAAGCCTGCTTTTATGTATAACTCAGGGATCTTCTTGGTTTGACCAAATCTAAATGAGCGTGACATTTATATACAAGGGTGGCAAATACACATTCCTGTCTTTAAAAGGCACTTTATGCTCAACTCCACCATGAATTCCTGGATGCAGGCTATTATGTGAAATGTTGAATTTTTGCTGGGTTAATATTGCTGTTTGCTGCTGCTTGTGATGAAGACTGTACAAGGTGTTACGTTGTTGGAAAATGCTGTTTCTTGTACCACTTTCTATTGATCTGTTGACCAGCTGTTAATTCTGGCTGGACCAGAGGACTATTTTATTTTAGTTCAGGAAAAGTGGTTACTGGAAGGCTAACATGTATGTGAACATGCAACAGTTTTTGAAACTTATTTCTGTGTCATATCCAGTAATTTTCTATTCCATTAAATTAAAAAGTGGTGTGAATCATAACCTTTACTGGTATCAAGGAAGCTGGATTCCCTGTATGCATGTCCATGTTTACTAAATTATATTATGATAAACTACATCACCATACCCAACTAAATTGTGAACTCTTGTCAGAGAACAAGCTGAGGTCACTCATGAAATCATAAAGTTAGTGGAAGATGAGGAACATTCTGTCCAGCTGCATATCTAATAGATTTATGATCTGGCGTTGTTCTTACATTTTTCCACAGGCAAAGTGTACACCAGAGGGAAGTGTAGTAGATGTAAAGTGATTTTGCCATTTGTATTTTCCTCTTACCATTTTGGAGAAGTTACAGGCATGTTGACAGAGTACTGGTGTTTGACTGGAGGGTGCTGTGCTGCAGCTTTTACCAGCATAGATAAAGGGCGTGGATGTGAAATGAAAATATCACATGCTAATGAGAAACAGGAATATCAGGTGCCTTCCTCCTCCTTGTGTCTGGCAAGCAAATGCAGAGGGAAAGTTTGCAAAGGTTCACAGTATCTCCCTAATTGTAGTAAGCTACAAAAGTAGTGCTGCTTGGTTCTTTATCTCAGACCAGTAGAGTGAAGGGGTTTACAGTTCAATGTCCTATAGTTCCTTTTATGCTGCAGAGAAAACAAGGTCAGAAATACAGCTATATTAAAGCCAGAATTGCAGCTTGAAAGCAAACAAAGAAAGTTTATTGTAGTTTTCTTCATGCAAACCAAAGCACGGCCAGCAACAGCAAGAATTTATAACATATATTTTTATCATAGTATGAGATTCAAAGGAAAACTGGGTAAAAGCAGCCATTTCAGAAACTCCTCAAACAAGACAGCTACATATGATAAATCTGGGAGGGAAACTAAGAAATTAAAATGCATATTTGCATCCTCCTACTTTTCCTCTTTACATTTGCAACTTAAAGAGGCTTTTTTGTATTTAGCAGATTATCTGCTAAAATTTCTCTTTGAACCTACATCAAGATTATAAAACCATACAAGTAAAAAAATACATTTTTTTTACCAGTAACTGTGCAAACTTAGTGCTTATCTTCAGCTGCCCCTAACACCTAGGAAGACCTTGGGCAAGGACTAACTTCTAATGCTAGGTCAGGTTTCAACACTATGTACTAAAGGAGGTATAGCAGTCTGTCTTTGCTGAGGATCAGCTATGCAACAACTTCACTCTAGAAGCTGAAATAGATGGAAAATCCATTATTTTAGCTTTATGGAAACAAGTATAATCTCACCCCACACAGTGTTCCAGAATCCATTTAAAACCAGTTACTCCTTAGGTATGATAGTTAGAGTTCATTCAAGCTCTTTCTCCTTCTTGCCAGGAGGGCTGCTACATTGCACATGCTCTTATTTTCAGAACTTACAGCTATGAAGAATCATTGCACATACTCCTTTTTATTACTAAATTTAAAAGGCTGAACATAGACTTGGGAACAGTTCATCACCTTGGCTAAGATTAAAAAAAAAAAGCACAGAGCTGACCATTTTCCATTGCTTTTTTCTATTTTAAAGAAACATAACCTATCAGCACTTCATTTACTTTGGTATAGCTATGCTTTTGTCTCCCTCTAAAGAGAAATTCATTGAGATTTATAAGAAGACTGTAAACCTTAAATAGTCAAGGGCATCTCTATGCTCTACAAATTGGACCAGCATAACATTTTTGGTCTTGCCTATGTAGAAGAAAATAAGTAGCTTTCAAGACTGAAAAGTAGTAAAAGTATCCCAGAGGATAACAAAATCCTGCCTGTCCCTAACTTCAAGAGGCAGAGAAGCAGAAAGTGCATAACTTCCAATGTTAAATCCATCCATTATAGAAAGAAATACGAAAAAGAGAACCCTGCTGA